TCCCGACTGACCGGTAGCTGTCTGGCGTTGCAAGCTTCCACAGGGCTATCGCCACTCGCTTCTCAACTGTGAGGGCTGCTCTCATCTTGGTATTCTGGCGCTTCAGGGCAGGGGAAAGCAAGTCACAAAGTTCCATGAAAGTGCCCTTACGCATGCGAAAGTTTCGCAGCCACTGGGAATCGTCCCACACCTGCAACACTATGCAGTCCCACCAGTCTGTGCTTGTTTCCCGGGCCCAGAATCGGCGTTCCACAGCTATAACCTGCCCCATTAAAAGCATGATCTCCAAAGCACCGGGGCCCACGGTTTGATAGAATTCCATGTCCATGTCCTCATCACTCTCGCCGCCGCGCTGCCGTAGCCTACTCCTCGCCGCCTGGTTTTGCAGGTTCTGGTTCAGCATAAACTGCACGATAACGTGCGAGGTGTTTACAATGTTCATGACTGCTGTCTTGAGCTGAGCGGGCTCCATGCTTGCCGTGGTATGGCGTCTGCACTGTTCACCCAGGAAAAAGGCGTGAAACGGTTGTCTGCCGTTGCTTCCCTTGAGAGGGGGGAGGATGTACCCAGAACCACCTGCGACAATGTTTTTGGCCCCATCAGGCATTGGGATCTCAACCCAGAATTCCAATGGGCGGAGGGGACTGCAGGAACTATGGGATAGCTATGGGATAGCTACCCACAGTGCAACGCTCCGGAAATCGACGCTAGCCCCGGTACATGGACGCACACCGCCGAATTAATGTGCTTAGTGTGGCCGCATACATTCGACTTTATACAATCTGTTTCCAAAATTCGAATTATATAAATTCGGATTAATCCCGTAGTGTAGACATACCCTTTGATAGAGAGGTACCTCCCACGAAATGGGATCCTGCTGCTTGAAGTCAGTCAGCAAGGTGCCTAAGGCATTTCTTGTGGGAATGAATTAAGTTCCTGTCTCACTCACTCTGCACAGAACAGCTGGAGCAGGAGGAGATGGTGATAGCAGTACCCAATTTATAACTCTTAGACTAACTGTTGGAGCACTTGACTGAGATGTTGGAGACCCAGGTTCAATTCCTCTCCATCTACTAGAGGGGGAAGAGAGATGGGAGACATCTATATAAATCCCCTAGGTCTGGGGTGTAAGTGCCTAGGTACCTTTGTGGCTCCAGGCCAGAGTTTTTAATATTTTACTATTATGTCTACTGAATTGGTAATAATTATAATATGCAGTTGTGCAGAATGTGACCAGAAATCACTGCCCACCTGCTCTGGCAAGTTTTGTTTCCGTTTACTTTTGTTAAGATGTTATTCCTAGCTCTGACAATATGCGCTCTAGTTACTTTGAGCAAAACCCATACTACCATTAGCAACTGGTTCTGACAGTTAACTGTCCCATTATGTTGAGCAATAAACATACATCACATTGGTTATGTGAACTGACAGTTGGCTCTCAGAAATATTGAGCTCTACTGTAATCACTTATGTCAGGTTCTAACAGGTCACCTGCTGCTTAGCTGAGGATCGAATTATATTGCATTATCTAATTAGAGGACTATATAGTATTATCTAGTAATACTAACATTTTCACAGCTAATGGTAATTAAGATAAAACATATGAAAGGGGGAGATACCCTGCTTTGTGCATTAAATAATATACACAACAAAGTGTTTGAGACATATGGATAATATGAAGTGCAGGTTGTTTAAGATTACACCAGGATTAAGAAACAAGTTTAATTCCTGCAGTTGACACAAGAAAACACAGCTAGTGATCTATTTTCTTGAAGCCACTTAAAATAAGCATAATACAGAAAGCATCAAGAAAAACAGTCTCATTCAAATTCATGAAATCTATGTACCTTTCAACACTTTATTCACCTCAGTTTTTCTCTGAAACCAGCACAAGATAAAATTCCTTTTTTGGATTTTTGACTGCATCAACTAGGTTTTGCTTGCTGGTAAAGGAGAGAATTGGGAGGAGGGAGTGTAGAGGAGCCTCTTCCCAAAACAAAAGAATAACAACCAAAGATTGTCCTCAGAATAGATGGGGAAGTCATTTCAATCAAAGATCTAGGAAAGCCTTCGGGAGAGCAACCTGGGTATTCTGTATTTTCATATGAAATAAGATCAGGTTGTAAGTCAAAGCAAGATATTTGTACCTGCCACCAGCCCTGAAATAGTAGTCTGGCAACTGAAAGTCAAGCTGTTCTCTTTCTGCCTTGTTAACACTGACAAAGATCCCAGAATCTGAATATAACAGTTTTGTTGACATTACAGTAGAACCTCAGAGTTACGAACATCTCGGGAATGGAGGTTGTTTGTAACTCCGAAATGTTTGTAACTCTGAACAAAATGTTATGGTTGTTCTTTCAAAAGTTTACAACTGAATATTAATTTAATTAACTTAATACAACTTTGAAACTTTACTATGCAGAAGAAAAATGCTGCTTTCCCTTTATTTTTTTAGTAGTTTACATTTAATACAGTACTGTATTATATTTGCCTTTTTTTTTTTTTTTTTGGTCTCTGCTGCTGCCTGGTTCCAAATGAGCATAGGCTGACTGGTCAGTTCATAACTCTGAGGTTCTACTGTACTTGAGACAGACAAGAATGCCTCTTCCCTAGTAAGAGCTGTGGAGATCCTGTCTCTGGAGTACAGGCAAGAGGGAAAGTCTGGTTAGTTTCATTGGTGCCTGTAAGAAATACACTAGCATTTCTCCTTAAAGAAGCTTTCAAAAGTAAATGACTGAGCAGAACTGATCAGAAAACTAAGAACTATTACAGAATGCAAACAGGGACAGATTCTGGCCACCATCACACCTCAGTAAATCCAGCATAATTTAGTTATTTCACTGGAACTAAGGTGCATTTACACAGCTGTAACGGATCAGATTCTGGCTCATAGGGAATAGATATGTACAGTTAAATGGTATATTATACAATCACCTGTCTGAGCACAAGGATATCTGAATGCTTTTCTATTGTTGCTATTAGCAAAATATCTTAATTTTAAACAACTTCAACATCCTAGAAGTTGCATTGCTTGGTTTGAGCAAAAACATTTACATTTAGTGAGGTAAAAGGAGATTTTAGACAACACCTTTGTTCCTGATGAAGGAAGGAAAAGTTTTTTGTTTTTAACAGGAAGGTGCTAGCCCTTATGCCGAAGATTTGTGTGTGGAGAGGAAATGGGGGCAGGGGAGGAACTGAGCAGGAATAATTTAAGAACTGCACAGGATCCTAAATGAATTTTCTGCTTTTAAGCTTTTAAGCCAAGCCCTGGAGTGTTTACTCTGGGCCTGTAGCTGTGTTAACTTATGGCACACACTTCCTGCACCCCCTCTTATTCCCCCTGCCATTTCACTACTCCCCACTCACACTGACCCCTAGGGCCTCAGAGATACCTTTGCAGGGTCCCTGGGAAAAGGGGCACAGGGTCACAGAAGTGGATGAGCCCCCTTTGTAGCGTGGGTCTCCCCATGTACACAAAGGTCTCCCTGTGAGGGCACAAACTGACCTTTACAGAGGCAAAATACCTACTCGTGTCATTAGGTGTCTTGTGAGAGTGAGGTTTTCAAGATTTGGCCCTTTGAATACAAGACCCATAATAGGGGCATCAGCTACTACAATTAAGGATGTTATAAATTAACACAAGTTTAGTGAGCAAAACATATTTTAAGTGGGTTTATATTCCCATTTTTCTCCTTCAAGTGTCTATTGTTCAAGCTCTCATGCAAAAAGCCCACTGTCTCTCTAACTTGAAACACCATGCAAGTTGCAGTAAATTAAAGGATAACATCATAAGTAGTCTGGAAGATACATATGAAAAACTGGAGTCTAGGAATGTAGGCATCAGAGATGGAAGCCCTTTTGTGTTCATCTATTCCATCTTCCATGGGCCAGAGCAGAACTGTTTTCTACTATACACTTTTCAGGACTTTGTCCAATCTATTTTTAAATGCCTCAACCCCTTTCTTTGGGAGACAGTTCCTCATGTTACCAAAGTTGTTCCCCTCTCTCAATATAGAAAAATACTGAGCCTAAATTTTCCTTTTCTTCAATTCAACCCTTTACTCCTGTTGTACCCCCTTGAATGACTCTAAATGGGTATCTCCTTGATTATTTTCACTCTCAATTCCTGTACTGTACATTGGTATCCTACTTCCCCCTCCTTAGTTACCACTTAGCAATGTTACAGTTTTCTTAATAATAATACCTGGCTCATACATAGCATTTTGCATCCATAGATCTCAAAGTGTTCTACAAAGGAGGTAAGTAGCATTATTCTCATTTTACAAATGAGGGTACAGGACTAGATGGACTGCTGAGCTGATCCAGTTTGTCAATATCTGGTAATGTGGTGCCCGGAACCGAATATGTTATTCCAGTTGCGGTTGCACCAGGGCTGTATAGAGAGGGGCCCAGAGGAACATAGGAATTGCCATACTGGATCAGCTCAGCAGTCCATCTTGTCCTGTATCCTGTCTCTGACAGTGACCAGAACCAGATGCTTCAGAGACTGGCCTGAAAACTCTGCTGTAGGCTGATGTGGAATAAGCTGCCCTTTACATAACTATTAGGTCTCATCTTGATCTCTAAGGATTGGCTCAAGCTCTGAAGTACAAGACTTTTTCCTCCCTGTCCACAATGGAAGGCTTAGACATATGCAGTCCCAACTTGCAATGTCTTTTTGTTGTTGCTGTATCATATTTTAAACTCAGGTCTCGCTGCTACATCTTACTCCCCAGGCTACTCCCCACAACTAAGGAGCTGGGGGTCAGGCTGTAGTTCCCCAGAAGGATTAGCTACATTTTCTAGGCTAACTCACTTGATTTTCATACCTCTCTAGATGCATTGATATTATTGCCCTGCTATAGCCTAGGCTGAGTTCAGGCTGGATTTAGCACCATATCTCAGGATAACAGTCTCACTCATTCCTGCTTTCTGTTTTTTCCTTCTCAGAGGCAGATGGGTGATTGGACAGCTGGTGCGCTGTTTCCTGTTCGGATGCCATGAATTCCAGAAAAACACTTTCAGAAACAAGGAGAGGGTACACTGCTGGTAAAGTTTATGCCACTGCACACTCATGGCAGCTCCCACAGATCCTCATTGTGGATGTCAAGCCACCCTTTTGGGCCAACACATGTTCTAAACTTTGTGAAGCCCTGGAAAACTTCTTCTGTCTAGCAAGCAGTTTGGCAGGTCCCTGTCGCATCCCATTGCTGAGCCTATATGTGGTGCAGAACCAGCACGAGTGCCTCCTTCCCTTTGTGGTGAGTGTGAAACAAGGGATCTTATAGACTTAGGATTTTGAAGGCTGTAACAGATACATGCAGTTTAGCATAGACAATTATGATTAATTAGAAGGTATTATATGTAAAGAAGTTAATCATCCTCTGAATCACTTTTTATGGGTTTCATGGAAGAAGTGAATCTTAAAGGAGGGATTTGAAAGGACAGGGCCTAGTGGCCAGATGAAGTTGGCTGCAGCAAGGGCTGGGTTCAATATTTAGGGGCTCCTCTTAACACTACTACACAGAGTCAGCCCAGTCATCTGGGAAAAGTTCACACCAGCCCTGGCGCCTCTAAGAGGCAATGCTTCCCCTCTCGCAAGCATTGCGTCTGTGTATAACAAAAGAGAAGTTTTATTAAAAGGGAAAGGGAACCAAGCATTAGTTTGGGAAAACACCACAACCACATTCAAAAACATGCAGTCATAAGGCAAACACCCATACCAAAGTATGTCATGCAGTGGCCTTTGCCTTAGTTTCTCATCTTGGGACGTGAGCCTTACAAACAAATGTTCCTTTAACATGCCACTGCCCTCCCCCTCTACTGCACCCTATTCCCAGTTGCTGTCCTTGGTCAGCGAAGACCCAGAATTCAGAGGTGTGTTCTTGGGAGTTCACCTCCTACCCTGGAGGAACTGGGGGGGAAGGTGTTGAGCAGTGCCACAGTTGCAGCCTTTCACTCTGCATTGCTGCTGCTGCACCATTGTTCACTCCATGGCCATTAGCCACAGTACCGTCCCTTTCTCTGCCACCACCTGCCTCTCTACTGCCACCTCTTTAGGTCCCACCCCTTAACCCAGCTCTCAGTGATTTCAGCAATTAGTGAAAGAGACTGCAGTGAGGTTCCTCTGAAACACTGCCCCACACTAGGCTTAGCACTTAGACCTGGTTATCAGTAGTTTCAGCTCTAATGATGACCTGAGAAAACAAATGACTCAATTGATTCTAATCAGCTCTGCCGTTAAACAGTGGAGAAGGGAAGAGTTAAATAGTGTCTAGGACTCTTAGGCAGAGCACACACCACCAGGTATAAACACCTGTCCCTACTGCTCTCCTTTTTCCACTGGGATTTGGCCTCCCTTCCCTGCTTAGTAAGTGAGGATGACCCACTCTATCAGGACAGGCTAAGCCCAGTTCTGCTGCCCTTTACTAGTACAATAAGGATAACAACATTTCATTACCCCTCCATTCAATACTAATGTGATTTGTAACTCACCACTGGCCAAAATCCATCACTTTGGCAACGCAGCTGTCTGCTGAATACCTAGGTAGTGTAGGTGTAGTCTGGTTCTTAAGTCTTTTCCCCCAGCTCATCACTGATGTCAGGGGAGAGCTCATTCAGACCCTGCCTACAAAGTTATTATATGTAAAAAACTTAATCATCCTCTGAATCACTTTTTATGGGTTTCATGGAAGAAGTGAATCTTAACGGGGGATTTGACAGAAGAAGGCAAAGTGGCTTGGAACCCCTGAGATGTGCATATGCCATAACTGAGTCCTCATGTAATTTTAGTGCTGTAATCCTTATTCTTCTCCCCATCTCCTGCTGACAGTTGGGTAATCCTACTCTGTGCATTACATCCGAAGTTTGATGGCAAGCCCACTGGGCCAGGGAATTTGCTTTTTCATTTGCTCTGTAGAGGACCAGGTCAGCCTAAGCACTGCTCTAAACTGTGCCAGCTAACAGTGCCCCCACAGCTAATCTGCCAGGGATCACCGGTAGAGCCTTGCAACCCAACAGACCCCAACTACAGGGATCTGGTTCAGGTCGGGTAGGCTCTGATCACCTCCTTCTGCCTGTAGAGCCCACATGGCAGCAGTTGTGTGCCTTGCTCCTGTTGGATGCTGCCACCACACTGTGTTGTGTGTGCGCAGCGGAGTGAGTGTGCCGACACATCACAGCAGCTCTCACTCCACAGCACACACAGTACAGCAAGGCTGCAGCAGCCCAGAGGGGTTATGCAGCCATGCTGGCACAGACCCCATGGGCCGGAGGTGTCGAGAGATGGATCACAGCCATGGGGTATGGGGAGTGGGAAGCCCCCACCAGGCCAAAGCCCAAGGATGAGGCGGCAGCACTGAAACAGGTTCAGAGGGAAGGATCAAGTTTGGGTTGGGTCTGAAAACTACTGAACCCTCTCGGGTTTGGATAGAATTCAGGTCAGCTTGTGCTCAGGCTGGGTTTGGGTCAGGCTTTAAAATTAGGCCCAAGCAGACCTCTAAGTACAGCAGTGCTCTGGACACACCACTTTCTTCCAGCCATGCCACACATCAGATGAATCTTCACCTGTGCTAAGATCTTCCTCCAACAGCTCTCACTTTGACTATATAGCAACTCTTCATCTATGGCCTACGCAGACTTTAAGGTGAGAATGGAACATTTGATCATCTGGTTTGACCTCCTGTATATCAGACAGTAACACTTCACCCAGTTACCTCTGTATTGAGACCAATAATTTGTGTTTGACTAAAGCACACCTGCCAGAAATGCATCCAGTCTTGACTCAAAGACTTCAAGAGATGAAGAATCCATGACTTCCCTTGGTAGTTTGTTCCTGTGGTTAATCACCTTCACTGTTAAACATTTGTGACTTATTTCTAATTTGAATTTATCTGGCTTTAACTTCTAGCCATCGGTTCTTGTTATGCCTTTCTCTGTTAAATTAAAGAAACTCTTTAGTGCCTGATATTTTTTCCTCGTGACGATACATATACACTGTAATCAAGTCACCTCTCAGTTGCTAAACAGATTGAGTTCTTTCACTCTAAGGCATTTTCTTTAGCCCTCAAATAAATTTTGTGGCTCTTCTCTACATCCTCTCCAATTTTTCAAAAGGTCTTTAAAATGTTCACACCAGAACCGGATACCATGTTCCAGGATTGGTCTCATCAGTGCTGTATACAAAAGAAAAATTACCTTCCTACCAGGGCCGGCTCTAGCGTTTTTGCCGCCCTAAGCAGAAAAAATACAAAAAAGACAGAAAGCCGCGATCAGCGGCAGCTCTACTGCCGCTTCATTCTACGGCAGCAGGTCCTTCGCTCCGAGAGGGAGTGACGGCCCCGCTGCTGAATTGCCGCCGAACGGCCGGACGTGCGACCCCCCACTCTTCATTGGCCGCTCCAGGCACCTGCTTGCTACGCTGGTGCCTGGAGCCGGCCCTGCTTCCTACTCACCACTCCCCTGTTTATACATGCAAGAATTGCATTAGCCTTTTTGACCAGCAGTTCCCCAAATTGCAGCATGTTCTGAATATCACTGTCAGTCTTTCCCATTACACCCCAAAGACCTCCACCGGATCTCCGGATCCATTTCAGAATACTGTTCAAAATTGCCCTTCTTATTTTAACCCTCTCCATAGCGTGCGCCAGTCTACTTCACAGGCCTGTTCTTCCTTTACTCACCTTTTCTTAGCCCTCTGTCTCTCCCTCCACCCAACCTTACCATTGTTGGCACAAAAACTTTCTTCTCTGCAGCTTCTGCCATCTGGAACAGTCTTCATCTCTCTCTGCTCATGAACTCTATTCTGAATTAAATCTCATCAAGAAATTTCAGGGCTCCTCTCCCTTGCCTACACCCCTTAGTTTCTCTACTTGGCCTATAAAGTAGCTTTGACTGTCCATTTTGCTCCTTCTCCCACACATATCTTACAAGTGGAACACTCTTCCTGAACTCATCCATGAGGTCACTACTCTCTCCTCATCATATCCCCCTTCTGCTATGCTGCCTCTTGGACTCTGGGGCACCAGGCCCCCAGAAGCACCAGCCCTCCGACCATGTCGGCTGGAGCCTACCAACTTCCACTCTGGGGTTGGCCCATAGGACTTCTGCTCCCCGTTAGAGGCAGGAGCAGCGGATCAGGGACACCTTCAGAGTCTCTGCCATCAGCAGCACTGTCACAGCACAAAGGAGAGAGGTACTGGGGTGCAACTGACATGATAGAGAGATGCAGGGAAGACAGAACACACAATACCAATATATAACAGGGAGGGTAAACAACAAAATACAACTGTCTGGAGTGGGCAGAATGGGAAAGGAGCACATTGAAATGACAGTGGCAAGTTGGCTGAGACACTGGGACAGGGCTTGAGGGTTGGGTAAGATAGTTGGAGGAAAATCAGAAGTGAAATTAAAGTAAAACAAAACCAGACATGGCCCTTTGACATTTTGCTTATCTGTCATCTGTCTATTATGGTTTGTCTGTCTTGTCTAGTTAGACTGTGAACTCCTCAGGGCAGAGATTGTGTGCTCTGATGTTTCTGTGCAGCACACAGCACATTGGGACCCCAGTCTCAACTGCAACCTTTGGTGCTACCATAATATACATTACTACTGTTAAAATCCTGATAGGGAACTCTGGGTGCTACTGTAAAACAGATACTAATTGTGGCTAAATTGAGGGGCAGTCAGCGATAACTCAATAAGGACAAATGCAAAGTACTCCACTTAGGAAGGAACAATCAGTTGTATGCATATAAAATGGGAAATGACTACCTAGGAAGGAGTACTGCCGAAAGGGATCTGGGGGTCATAGTGGATCACAAGCTAAATATGAGTCAACAGTGTTATATTGTTGCAAAAAAAGCGAACATCATTCTGGGATGTATTAGCAGGAGTGTTGTAAGCAAGACACGAGAAGTAATTCTTCCGCTCTACTCTGTGCTGATTAGGCCTCAACTGGAGTATGATGTCCAGTTCTGGGTGCCACATGTCAGGAAGGATGTGGACAAATTGGAGAAAGTCCAGAGAAGAGCAACAAAAACGATTAAAGGTCTAGAAAACTTGACCTATGAGGGAAAATTGAAAAAATTGGGTTTGTTTAGTCTGAAAAAGAGAAGACTGAGAGGGGACATTATAACAGTTTTCAAGTACATAAAAGGTTGTTACAAGGAGTGAGAAAATTTTTTCTTCTTAGTCACTAAGGATAGGACAAGAAGTGATGGGCTTAAATTGCAGCAAGGGAAGTTTAGGTTGGACATTAGGA